TTGCAGCCTTACAGTTATGATGGAGTAATATGATCTTGTCCAAGGTTTTCTGTTTGTACACTTGACTACTTGCTTGCTTTACCAGGTTAGTAATCCAGTCTTGATATTTACGATATATATATTGTAAATATATATTTTTGCCTCCCCAGTACATCTGTGTATCTCGCTTTATTAGCTTTTTACCATTCTCAGTTGCTTTTAAGTGTATAAAGCAGACAGTCCAGAGTACTGTAAAGTGACAGTGTTAGACTGTGACTGCCCGAGGCTAGGACACAGCCGCTGCTAACTAAACCTATTCCAACATTTACATGAAGACGTTCAGATTGTTATATTCATGTTGCTTTGATTAGAATTAAAGCCCAACACTTGAACTAAAACAAGTTTTCACCCAAAGTGACGTTTAATTGCTTTTAATAACAGTAGACCTACTTTTACCAACATAACATTGTGTGCTGTGTTTAGCATTTTCAGATCACGGCTATAGACGGTTTAACAGATGCTTTCCCTGAAGACAATGGATTTGTTGAAGTACAGCAAAAACAATCAGCCCTGCTACAAGCCGAGTCAGCAAATACACCCTCTTAGGAGGCAGAAACACGCATTAACGCATACAACCGCACGCATACACCAACAATGTTCAGCTCGCTTGAGGCTTGATCCACACCAGTATTGTTTCAGTTGGTTATTATCACATTGGCCTGCCAAGATCAGAAATTGTATGTGTTGTTATGAAATACACAATATGCTTTAGTGAGGGTTTGGGCTTAGGGTTTCATTCAAATGACACATCAGTTTGAGCAAGTACGCTTACAACAGCTGTAATGACACCTGTGCTCAAATCTTCTGCTTGTCATTCAACCTACATTTTTATGTGTTAACCCAAAACAACACAAGGGATTTTTGCTGTAGCATGTGACAGCCCATCCAATTTTTTTGTATTCATAAACTATCATCCACTGTATGTCAGCTCCTTAGTCTTTGCACAATTTTATGCTCCAATTTTCTAGGACATGTGAGGTTTTTGGAGAAGTTGTTTGGGTTCATTTAGTTTTTAACATTGAATACTAGCTACCACTATGTCTTACTGCTCAGTGATGCATGGACATTTGTACTCTATGATAAATAGGGTTTCCTTATCCAACCTTTTTTTTTTTAGAATTTCAGACATTTTCTCAAGAAAAACACAGACATAACGATTAGAAGGAAGTGTGTTCTTACCTCACAGGTGCAGGTGACTCTGCGTGGGTGAGGTGCCTCCTGCTGGAGCTGGTACACTGAGGCAGAAAAAAACACAGTGATTCATCAGCAAAAAGTATGTTACCTCCATGAAGCAAATAATAGTAAATGTTAAAGTTTAAAAAGGTTATAATCAGGATAATAACACAATGTTCCATTGATACTTACAATAAGACTTCCACACCGGTGGCCTGTATTCATCATGATCTGAAAACAGAAAAAGTACAATGGATTAAACAGTTGCAACATTACTCAAACTTTGTTTCCTTTGCTACAGTGCCCCCAAGTGGAGAAAATATGATAGTGCTCTGTGCTGCTTTTATCTGACTGTTCTGTGTCTCAATTTTGATATGAAACATAAACCAGATAAGACCGGTTCAGGACTGACTCAATTCATCTTCTTTTTGATATTAAATTCATTTAGTAATAGATGGTGAGTATTCGAGAATTCATGGGGAGCTTAATGTGCAAACAGAGATAGACGTTTCAATCTATAATGCTTAAATACTGGTTTAATAGGTGAACAGTTGGTAAGAAAAACCGGAATTTGGAGCGATCACACAATTCTCAAGGCAAAACACTGAAACCGCTGAAGGCAATTTTGCAATTATTGCCAAATAAACAAGCTAAACAGCTGAATGTGTATTAAAAAAAAAGAAAAAAAAAGGTGTTTACACTGACAGGAAGAGATATGAAGTCATAGCATAGATTCATTAATATTGTGTTGCAGACAGGATGGCTCATAAGTGATCTCTCTGTGCAATGTGTATTTTTCTTTTGCTGTTCCACCCTCAGGCCTACTCCTTTTAAATCAATTATAGAAAGAAATCAACATTATAGCAGAGTTTCCTTGTTGATTATTCAGCTGTAGTAGACCATAAACAACACCGACATTAATATTTGACTAAATGCAACTCAAACAGAAGCATTTTAGCCCCAGGCGCTAATTTGGGGTTTGGCTGAACTCTGCAGTAGCTACTGAACATTTCCAAATTTCCACTCAAAATCTGGCACTGCGAAATCCTTTCATGTGCCCATTCACATTCTGTGCTGTATGCATTTATGGCTGCATTTGCAACATTGAATATACAACTTTATAATTTAAAAAGTATTAATTGGGTTTAACACAGCATATACTTACATTATAGCAAATAAAAGCCCTTTTGTGTGTGTTTTGCTTCTTCTTATATGTAAAATACCAATACCGTGCTTCCATTCTTTATCTGCTACAAGTTGCTTAATGCCTCCTTCCAAACTACATAAAATTACAATCATAACTGCAATTTAACTATAAATGTCCGCAGCCATTTCTACACTGACAGACCAACTCAAATTAATATAAGATTATTATAAATGAATGTAAGACTCTGCTGTCATTTTGCCAGAATCTTGCAAATTCAGATATACGCTGTCTTCCACCTTCTCCGCAGACCACACGCATAAAACTAACAGCCTGTTTCCTGTCTTGGTGTACTTTGTGCTCACTCCACAAGCCTTATCTGTTCAACACTCGTCGTCCCGGTATCCTGTCTTCAAAATAACTCCAAATCCTCCCCGGTTAAGTGTCTCACCCTCCTTCTCAAGGCAACACTCACTCACAGCCTCACTGATAGACACACTAATAAGAAAGCAGACATAACATATCAACTGCTGTCACTCAGTGTCTGCAACAGCACTGAAGTAAAGCCTGCACAGTTGTGATACATTGGTGCTACACTTGAGCATTTCTATTTGTGCTAGGTTTTAAACGTTCACCTCACAACATTTTTGAGGGAAGTATTGGACTTGTCACTTATTCTGTCCATAGTTTCTTTGCAGATTGAGGCTCTACGATAAAACCATTAAATACGATGCCCTACTTTAGAATAATTCAACAGGAAAGACAGGGAAGACCTGTTGAAGCACGTGTACCAACAAAATTTTTATCCAAAAAGTAGTACTCATTGTACATATTACTCAAGTATTGCTGTGTAAGCACTACTGTGGGAACATTTAATATATAAAAATGCATCAAATTTTATAAACTGATCCTGAATATGGTGGAGTAGGAAGCACACAACATTTGCCTCTGCCATAAGGTGGAGCAGTAGTATGAAGTTAAATAAAATGGACATACTCAAAAATGCACTTAGGCATAGTATTTGAATAAATGGACTTCTACTTAAGCTACATGACCACTTGATTACACAGGATTTCTACTCCCCTATCCCAATTTATATGACATATATAAGAGAGACATGAATATAATAATTGGTATATAACATTAGTCTGTGGACAAATAAAAAACACACAAACACACCATTAACACAGTCATATTAAACCACAGTGGCCATTATCTAAGGTGTGATGCTGCTTACCAAAGACATTTAGGGCCATCTTGACTCTCTGATATGATGATGAACAATTAACCAGCAGATCCAAATTTCCAGTAAAACGGACCCGCTTAGTTTAAATCCTGAAAGTGAACACAAAAAAACTGAATAAGTTTAACTAATCAACCACTGGCTGTGGTGAGCTAACCAGGCTGGGGTGAAAACAGCTGAGTAACGATAAACAACAATACATGATCCTGCTCAGATTATGAGAGAGCTAACGTTAGCGGGCTCGCTCAGTGTTACTTTAGTTGCCAGGCAAAACCGATGATAAAAAGGAACCGACTTGATATTAAAAGGAAAACACTTGCACTATAACACAATGAAAGTGCAACGACGACGGCTTTATAATAGTGTGAAACGGTGCACTGATTCATTAATCTAACGGTAAGCTAATAATACGTAGTACTCACATTCACATCCATTCTGCATTGTGGTCGCCATCTTGCTGGGTCACGTGAGCAGTCTCGCCCTCTCTCCAGGGTAGCTATGGCAACGGACCTTGCTCTTTCCACTTCCAACAACAGACGTCGTCAGTCATTCCCGATTTAAAGTTTTTTTTTAAAATTATGATATAGTTAATTTAAGTCGTGTTAATATAGAGTGTTATGGCTAATATATTTTTTGATTTATTAATTGATTGATTAATTATTTAAGCTTGATTTCAAGTTGAGTCATCCGCCTTCTTAAAATACCAAATTAATCATAGCGAAAACACTGACACTGCTGACTTTATATTCAAAAATGAATGTATTTCCACGCACTGTCTATGGCCGGTTAGCTCAGTTGGTTAGAGCGTGGTGCTAATAACGCCAAGGTCGCGGGTTCGATCCCCGTACGGGCCAACTTAATTTCGTTTTCTACCTCATCCTCAGGTTCCCTGAGCACAATACGATTTAGTTATCGGTAGTACTGAATTGGCACCAAGGAATTATTGTGCCACTTGTGTAATGTAAATACATTTACACGAGTACTATGCTAACGTACGTTTTTAAGCACTCCATTTGTATTTTACTGAAATATTTCCATTTTATGCTTGTGATATTTCTGGTAAAGTGGGGCCAATTTCAACTTCTTAACACACTGCTGGCTAGTTTAATCTGTAATGACACATCATAATTAATGACTTGATTTTCATTTTGTTTTAATAATCTGAATCTGTAATTGTATTAATTACAAATAAATTTGCATCCGAAATGAAGAGGAGTTAAAGTAAAAAGTAGCACAGAAATATTCAAGCCAAATAAGAAGCCAAATCCTCCATTTCCCCAACCCACCGTGTGATGGCGATGTCGCGCCGCCATGGTCGCACTTTCTCTCCGCCTGATTGTAGCGCCGAGGTGCCCGTGCTGGAGGCGGTGTGTTTCGCTCTTCATTGTTTAAGTGGAAAGCTCAATGCTCGGTTTCCCACATTTGTTTCAATGGCTACCACATAGAAACCACGTCCCACCTGAGAGGGAGCGGTTTAGCTGCGAAGAGAGAGAGACACAGAGGGACTACCGAGTCAAAACTTAACCGCAGGACCGCACTGTGTGGGATTTACCGTCTGCACTGCAAATAAAAGCTCTTACGGACAATCTGTGGATCCTGAGGAAAGAGGGGGTAAGGAAATCATGCTATCCGGATTATGAAGCGACTTACACGTAGCCTTTCTGGTCTTCCTTACATAGTGCACATTTGTTCTCAGAAACATCCAGATTTGCTGTTCCCAGTTAAGACTAAACGCTTTGGCTTCTATAGGCAACAGTGATGTTTGATGAGCCCGATATCTGAGGCATAAGCTCGCTTCGATTCCAGCCTGTACATTTTCCTAATCGGCTGAGCTTCAGGAGGTCCAGCAGAGCTTCTCTTACTGTAAGCTTAATGACAGACAAGAATAGCCTTCTCCAGTAAGTGCTTTAAACATGTATATGTGTTGCAACATTTTCACACGATTTACAGGTTTGTAGTATTAACTGGCAAATACTTTGGTTTTATCTTTAATATTGTGGGGTTTTTTTTTAAAGCTTCTCCTTTCAGTTACTCCCTTGTGTTTTGTGGTTAATAATGCTTCTCCATTCACCAAACCCTACAATGGCCTGCCCATGCACATTCATATTGAGCAACACACACACACACACACACACACACACACACACACACACACACTAGTCCAGTCTCTTGAGTGTGAGCAGGTTGCTTTAGCCTACTGACACCTTTGCTGTGGCCTAAAGGATTACTCTGCTAACCTACATTCAAGCGTTTGCACTTTGCCAACTGTACTTTGTGTTTGTGTGTGTGTGTCTTTAAATGTGCTTCATCTTGGTGTTTCACTTGACAAAGCTTCTGAGTGCATGTATGTCCTGCAGTATATTACTCCCACTCAGTGCTTGGCATTGTCAGAGGCAAACCTTGACCCACCACCCATCCCCTGGGGAATATATGCATGGAACTATTGAGTGTCAGCATCAGCTGACAAACAAATCCCTTTCTTTTATAGATCTCTGGAGAGCACACGCTCTTTTTGCACCCCCTCCTGTTGGCGTGAGGTCAGAGCATAAGGTCAGTGGGGAAGCAGCACCCATGATCAGCATCGTCTTGCTCATACATTTTGCTAATGGTTGCTGGAGCATGGGTGTTGAGGTCTAAGCTGTATCTGCCCTGCTGCCCATTCACTTTTGCAATCAATAACACACCCACAACGCCAGTAGAATTGGTTTTATTCTCTCCTTTCTTGCACACACACATACACACAACCTCAGAGTAGAAATTCCCCTGAGGGCAGTAGAGCGGCTTAATGGTTCCGCCAGTGGAGAGTGTCACCTTGATAAAACGTGGTATCTGGCACAGCCATTGATCTGCCAATGACCGCAGGAGTAAAGCGTGCTGTGTTGTAGCCTTGATCTCGCCCTTTTTTACACCCCCCCAAAAAAAAATAGTTGCGCAATCTCCATGTGAATATTCCTGCCATTTTAATGTAATGTCAGATTTAACCTGCAGTGTGTGCTGTCTTGATTTATTTCAAAATAGTCAGAACTACTGATTCTTAATAACAGAAATATAAAAAACAGATTTGTAATAGTGCTTTCTGTGTAGACACACACAAACACACACTCTCACATCCGATTCCCAGGGCCTGGCTTCCCTCTCACAAGCTCTTGGGAAACTTTCAACTAACACCAGTTCAAAGGCTGGTTGAGAGGCCTTGGTCCCGCTGCTGGAAGCTCCCACAGTAGCGTCCTTTGTGCCTGTGCGACCAGCTCGCTCTGTATTCCTCTCTTGCTCAACTAACTCCATGTATAATCCTCCTCCCATCCCCTACGGACGAGATGAGGAAACTTCTGCTTCCAAACTGTCACTCTTTTAGATTTATGTCGTTACGAAATTGATCCAACAGCTCGTGTGTTTTGCTCGAGGTCTTAAATCAGCACAGTCAGCATTTATGATTGTGTTCATGAGAGAAAACATACTGGAAGATCTGTGGAAGAAGCTGAATTGTGTCCTGGTTCCTTGTCGGCTTCTTGTTGGTGAGTTTGTGTTGAGAGAATGTCTGCAGAATATGATCTACTGATGTTTGTCAGAGTAATTGGCACCTGTCTGTTAGTGGATGATTAGGTAGAGCTATAAAAGTGGCTCTGAGTTGACACTTGTTTTGCTTTGAAGTGTGACACAGGGAAGAAGAAGCAGCAAGTAGGTAACCCAAAGTGAGTTAGTGTAGGGTTTCAAAAAACAGATTGTTCAAGCACTGGAGTGGCGAAACTCCTTTTTGTCTCAGTCTCTGGCTAATACTGAACTACTAATAAACAACTGAGGTGAGTTTTCATCTCAGAGCAGTATGGAAATGAATGCTCCCACAGGTGTAATGAGTAACCTGACTGTCAGGTCCCTTTTTATTGTCCGATCACTTCCTTGGCTGGGGTCCAGTTTCCAGTTTCAGCTTTTGTCACTGAGGTGAAGAGAGTTGCTCGTTTGTGTGTGCAGGTGGAGGGATTAGTAAAAGATAATGTCTTTTCTATGTCTGTGTCTGTTGTATAACCTTGCTGTGAAAGATTAGGTTTAGTGTGAGAGCACAAAGGTAAACCAATAAAAAGTCGTCTATGTTAGTCTGTAGTTACTATGCAAATTCAGAACATTGTCTATGTTTGTCTTTGTGTAAGTTTTGTTGATTGATTGACGAAGAAGAAGTTTGGTTTGTAAAATGTCAGATAAGAATGAAAACTCTCTTTTCTGATGCTCAAAGATATTTTAATTAATGGTATAAAACAGAGAAATGTAGCAATCCCTCACGCTGGAGACTCTGGAACCAGTGTCCAGAATTGATTTCATAATAGTTGCAGGTCAGTTTTCTCTCTGAACAGGCACCTTCTTCCAGTAGATGGTGAGCAGAGACTTCAACCATAAACCTCCCGTCTCAGCCTTGCAGAGAAAAGTGTCCAGCACTCGGTAGATTTTAGGATAGTCTGCAGAAGACCACAAATTATACACCGGGGTTTATTCTCCAAATTTGGGCAAAAGAAAGCTGTATTTCTCAGGCTTTGGACTCGGACAGCCTCATCAACCTGATAACATACTTTAATGTGGTCTTGAAATATGGACCTTGAATGCCTTGCTGACAGCTCTTACACAGGGTGGATGTTTGCCATCACATAGGTCATCCCAGTTCACTCAGTGCACCACCCATCTGCTCCTAAACGTTTAGAAGTATCTGTTTATTGCTGGTCAGGAGGGAATGGCTTATTTTTTTTTACTGTAGCCCCACTGATACTGGATTTTTGAGGTCGATATTTGGGAGTCTGAAAAAATCTGATTTATCAACCGATCAGGATTTTTATTTTAATATAAGCACACAAACAGCCTTCATTTACATACTAACTATCCAGTTTCTAAATGACCTTTAAACCTAGTTTGACATTTCTGTTCTGACTGACAGTGTTTGTTACTGACTGGTTGGCATATACGCCGACACTGACTCAGAGGGCCGTTTATGAAGGTTGTAAATATTGGATTATTGATCCATACAAGTGTGTTTGTGTGTCAGGGCAGTTCACCAGTGTAACCCCTTATCCCTGTTTTACCCCCTGACTATCTTCTAAAACATTCCTCAGCCCTGATGTCACCAAGCGTCTGAGAGGATATTTATTGTCTGAGGCTGAAGTTTATCAAGTGTAGGTTGGGGGGGGGGGCTGAAAAGTTTGTGTGTATGTGTTTGAGTCTGAAAGAAGAGAGGGGGCGGGGGGGGTTGAGGGTGTCTTTGTGTGTTCTCAGACCGTATCTCATCTGTCCTACTTGCGAAGCTTTGATTCAAGTCTGAACTGGTCTTACACAGAGCTCTGTGTTTGGTTTGTAGGAAACGCAGTAAATCCCACCTGCATGTGCTGTAGCTGGAACCAGTGTGTGCAGTGTGAGTGTCTAGCAATGTGTGAGACATGTCTCTCTGTCTGCTTCTTTGCACTCACTGCCTAAATCCCTTGCGGTTTCTAACATTGTGCAAGGCCAATTTAACCCAGACTGAATAAATGTGGTGAGATTTTTCGCACATTTCTTGAACTGATTTAGCACAAAGTTTCCCTCCCTCACCAAACGGAGCCTCATACTTTCTTTTAAACCTGTACTTTTCTGCATTTAAGCAACTTTTAAGCTTCGTTTTCTTAGGAAAGGTTGATGAAGCAGCTCATCCTGGCTGTTTCTATTTTTTTCATCTAATAAAAACCCACAAAAGGCATTTGACAATTCCCATAAAAGTAATACAGGAATACCTTACAAGGAAATGGTGTACATAAATTTACCATCACACAGGATGTGACGTAAATGTGCTATTTAGGATGAGCGCCTGGATGTCAGAGGAAATGCTTGCCTCTTGTAGCTTAAGTGCCTGCTATGTATTTAAGAAGCCAAAAATCAAAAATACACCAAATCACAGACTGAAGAAAATTGTTGGCTTTGCACATAAAAAGACACAAACTGCAACCCTAAATTTTTCCCTCTCTCTCTGTCCTCCAGACGTGAACAGAGGCCCCTGCAGCTCGAGAGCGCCTCACTGTAGCGTCTGTCACCATGGTCGAACCAGCCGACAGGCCGTCTACAGCCGGTCAGAGGCTGGGCGCCCCGGAAAGTTTCGGGGTGTCCACCCTGGAGCCGGGCCTGCGTCCTCCTGCTCAGCCTCCAGGGAGGCAGGTCTCCATACGGGTGCAGATGCTCGATGACACACAGGAAGTCTTCCAGATATCGGTGAGTAGTGTGTGTGTGTGTGTGTGTGTGTGTGTGTGTGTGTGTGTGTGTGTGTGTGTGTGTGTGTGTGTGTGTGTGTGTGTGTTTGGTTTTGTGCTGTTGGATGATTGCAGACACAATTTAGGGATTTTGCTGATGAGTGATTAAAGTCAGTGTGTAGGAAGGCATTTGGTCTCTTAAACTTGAAGCTGCACGAATCCTGCTCTACCCCACAGTCAGTCAACACATCAGTAATATGGCACAAAGGTTTTGGCAACCTATAAAAGCGGCAGTTGTAGGGTGATGGTGATGCCTTCAGGGTTCAGCTCAGCTTCCTTCTCTGCTCTGTTCCTCAGGATTTGTCTGTCTGCCTATCGGTCTCATCTATTTATCCACTTCCTGCTGCTGCACCCTCACATTAATGACTGATGCAACTCTTCAAAAAGGTGCAATAAAACCCTACAGGTGTGGCTTATCAATGGGGATATTCAAATACATTTCCATCTCTACTTAAGCAATCTATCAGCTGTTTGTGGTTGCAAGACGATGGCTCAATATCTTCCTTTCACCTTGAGTCTTATCTCATATCTCCACTTCCTGGAAATACGCAGGAAGTAGGAGAGGAGCCAACTTCCTGTCTAAGCACACCACACCTACAGACCCCTGATTCTGCCTCATAGACAGAAACACACACTGCAGCCTCTCTATCTTTACCTCTTTCACTATCTGCCTTATTTCTTGCTGTCTCAGTTCTTCCCATCATTACCTCTTTGTGCCCATTCATCTACTCACTTATACAAACATATGTAACTGCATGTTGTTTGTATATCTAGTCAGCATTCACCCTGATTAGGCATCTTAAGTGTTTGCATGTGTTTTGAATCAGTGAGAATTTTTGTGTGAGCTCGAGCATGTCAAGAGTGTGTGCTAGCATATAAAGCATGAGTTTGTCCACAGCAGCTCTCTGACTTCCTAATGCTGTTTAGAGAAAGAGGTCCTCTGAGAGGCTGCACTGCCAGCCGCTTTAATGACATCGGTGCTGCGGTGCTGTGGTATGTCATCCTCTGGGTGGGTGTAGTCTCGGTTTCTGAATTAATGCCTGTTGCAAGCTGACGAGGAGCTTAGTCTCATGCCCTCGTCAGTGATTTGCACGCCTTTAGAAAACCCCCGGCAGCTGTATTATCAGCTTAAGATTCGGGGAGTTTTTTTATGATGATAATTAAGAAAGAATCCAGAAAGAGTCACTGTCTCTGCTGGCTTGTTGAACATCCAGAGCTGCCAGTTCGGGGGGGAGCCGTAATTGGCTTTTGCAAAAATGCCAAGAATGTATGTGGTTGTTAGTGTGTCAGTGCCGGAGGATATGTCTGTGGCTGAATGGACAGTTTGACAGAGGGCTCCAGTGTCTGTGTGAGGGATGTCATCTGCATTTTTTGAAATTTTATTTTATTTTCTAGCATTTTTTAAAATCCTAAATTGGTGTTCTCTCAACTTGATGTGAGAACACAGAGCGTGTGGTTCTCCAGCAGCAGCAGTCCTTCTCATGACAGGGATCCATCCCCTCTATCCTTTCCCTCAATCTTTCACACACATGGAGGAAATGGCTTATCTCTCTGGAACATCTTTAGACGTCACTGCTCAGACCGCAGCAGGGCAGACCGCATCAGCTGACAAGAGCAGCATGACCACAATATATTAGGACTGCATTCGCCACACACTCTCTCTCTCACACACACACACACACACGCGCGCGCGTACATGCTAGGTTGGGATTGTTTGTTTGCTGTCACAAGAGCCGAATGTGAACCGGCAGAGGACTGGGCTGGGAATAATAATGAAGGGAGAAGTGGAGGCGGGAGGAAGGAGCAGGCGATGGAGAGCTGGAGAGAGAGAGAGAGGAGAGGGAAGAGAGTAGTGAGCAGAAAAGCATGGGAAAGCAAGCCAAGCAAATTAATGACAGTTGATTTCACAGCTTATCACAGGTTCAGTGAAATAAGGGAGGCATTGTCTTTTGAGCTTGACCCACCTAATCAGTCCTTTCCTGTTAGAAGGCATTCCAGTGTGTTTGTGCAGTAGGTGTAGGCTAATATGTAAATCAATAGAGCCTGCAGCTTACAATAATGTTGGCACTTGTTTGGGCTCTTTCCCACTGCAGGGAGGTAAATAGTCTTAAAACCTCCCCCGAGCCACTGCACAATAGGAGTAGTAAATTTTAAAGATCCAAAACAGAGAACTCTTTATCGCCAGCCGCAACATTGGTTTTACACTTGAAATAACAATGTTGGCATACTGTGGTACTGTTGTAATGTTGACTTGAGGTTCCCATGCTTGATGTTTGAATTTTAACCTTTATTATTCCATGTTCAAAAGACTTTAGTGACCAACAGCAGCAAGGTGATTATGCACATTTAATTTGAAAGCCGTTGGCCTCTTAGTTTGGGTTCGTATCTATGCATCCTTAATGCAGGTGGCTGTTGACAAAGGGTTTGACTGTTTGTTTCCCAGTTAAAGTTTAATCATTAGGCTTCTACTGTACATCAGGAAGAACAGGCTCATTATTTAAATTTTGTTTTCCACTGGGAATAAAACTTCACCGTCAGAGCTTCCTACTCAACATGGCTCAATAAATGTCGTTTAATACATTTAGTGTAAAAAAAAAAAAAAAAAAAAATTGTAAACATTCTGGTCCAACATGCGTCTTCAATAAAGTTGCATTTCTTGGATCCAGGTGGTTGACATTGAGAGCTCGGGCCTTCATCCTCAAAGTCCTTATGATGTTTCTGGTGTTAATAAAATCAGCTGCATCCTCAGGCTTTGAGCTGGGAATGTGAACCCCCCCAGCTCAATGAACAGACTCTATTATCCAGATTTGCGGGAGGAGTAACGTGGAACACATTCGATCAAAAGGAGATCCTCCAGAGCTTTAGCTGGACTCTGTTTTTAGAGGCACAAAGCCTGAATACCATTTAAATCTAACGCAGCTTTTCCCTCTCACAGAGTTACAAGCTACAAGCAGCTCAGCTTCTGCTTATATATTTGTTGTCGTTTCCTTTTTTCTCTTACCGGATACATATTGTTTGAGTGTACATTTCATTAATAAAACATGCCCACCATGGCAACACACACACACACACACACACACACACACACACACACACACAAGGAGGCTTCATTATTAATTTGGGGCGGAAGCAGCATGGTGGAGGAGTGTGTGAGTGCAGAACATTGTCAGTCACTCCCACCTGGTAAATAATTGAAGATGGCATGGATGCGCCGTGCGTGTGGCTTTATCTGTGTGTGTGTGTGTGTGTGTGTGTGTGTGTGTGTGTGTGTGTGTATTTGCATGCCTGGTGAATAATGGAAGAAGCGTGTTACTCATTTGCTTTGAGTTAGTTGTTCACCTATTTTAACCTCGTCCAGTACCAGTGAAACCATTCGCTGAGCCTATTTGTGGATTCTTGTGACATGACATCCCTCCTCTTTTCTTCCAGTGCACAAATTTCAAGCATCCACAAACACAACTTTTGATATTTGGTTTTCATTGCAGCTGTAATCGGTTCAAGCTGCAGTCTTTAAGCGGGAAACCTTGCAGCATGATTTGCCCTCACATGTAAACCCTCCAGCCCCAGATTCTCGAAGTTTATCTTCAGGTCACAGCATCGGTGATTTGAGGGGAATTTTCCAGGGGAAACCATTTAGGTTTGTGTGGTGGAGATGAATAAAACTCAGAGAAAAGGAACAAGTGACAGCACTTTCCTGTAACTCACACCTGTTTTGTGCAACATTCAAAAAAGAGTCACTTTAATTATGAAAGATTTGTAAACTCATGTTGAGTGACAATACTGAGTAGTAAATTATAATTTTGCTGTCCCATCTATCCCCTCTTACCAAAGTGACTGGATTAAATGTTATGACCACAGTAATAGATCAGCATAGGTAATCTTCCAAATCTACAGGGAAACAATGGATTTATGTGAGGTGGTTAAAAAGTAGCAGGAGATATCGGATATCAGGTGATATTCTATGCTTTTCATACTGAAAACAGATCTCATGAAAGACCAAGACCAAATGAAATTACGTACTTTTGACCTTTACTTCCTCAATAGGAATGAATAGATGGTACTGTAGGTAAGTTAGAAAGTACTGTGAGATGGACTAACGCATTGTTGGTTTTGAATACCACCAGACTTATCCTTGACCTGGATCTGAACTTAAACCTGAACTGGAACAAAATAAAGAGGGAGACAGAGGCTAGCAAAGCAGAGCAAAGGTTTTTTTCTTTCTTTCTTTCTCTGCTGCAGGGAAAAACAAGTAGTGTTTTGATACTTTCAGCTCTGGAAACACTGGAAACAACATCCTGCCTGGTGTTTTTCACATTTAGCCAGGATTTCTCCGGTGGGGCCTCCATGATGGCACCTGCAGCTGTAGTTCACTTTATCTTCATATTCCAGCTTTGATTCCGACTACTGTGGAAGTCCCACTGATTCCCTGGGGAGCAGTTGAGCTCAGTTAGGTCTGTCCCCCAAGGACCTGCCGTCACTTGAAATATCTCATTCGGTCAGATGATGCATGTATGATACTTGTAGTGATTAAGACCTGCATATGTGCCCTGTCATAGTTTTCACTCTTGCTTCCCATCCCCCCACCCCCACCCACCTAGATGATACTGTATAATACAAATGGAGTACGCTTTTTTTTCTCCTGTCTGATTGGTTAATATTTTTCCTGTACTGTCTCGTCTCACATGCTGACCTTAATCCCTGCAAGACCATCCAACCTATCCACATCAAGACCGACTTTCTCAGTGGATGTCAGTAGCTTGAAAGACACTGTGATATCAGGAGAGGGCGGACAGGGGGGTGTGTGTGTGTGTGTTCGCATGTGTGTGGGGGAGTGTGCGTGTTAGGGTGCTATAAGATCACTGTGAGGGTTTTTGCTGAATGATTAGACTGTGGATTCATCATCTGCACGGCTCCTGATCTTTCGTCTAAAAGAGAGCTGGGGAAAGATACAGGACTGGGGGG